ATGTCAAAATAAAAATCTTGAACCTTCAGTTGTCAGAGTAACTGGTGGAGACCCAGCAACACACTCAGACACAAACTGGTTCATCTGAAACACAAACTGAACAACGTCGTGTCTGCTGTACAGTGCAGCGTCCAGATGAACAGGATCAACAGGATGAACATCTTTTTAACAGTCGTTACAAAGATGTGAAGTTGTTTGGCTGACACAGACAAACAGTATCCCACATTCTTGATTTTTAGCTCACAAACACGTCTTATAAGGACTTATTGATCCTGAAATGTTGGAGGTTTTAGCTCTTTAAACAGTAAAGTTACAGGAGGATACAGATAATTATCAGGAAAATGTCCTCGGTTTGTTAAAACGATCCCGTCCGATAACACACGAGAACAATAAATGTATCATTTTCTGTTGTAACCCACAAACTGAACGGTCACACTCATCTTTCATGTTGTCACTAAAACATCACTCCTTCCACGTCTAGTTGGTCGTGATGGAGGCGGAGTGCGTTGGGTCCGCTTTCCCTGCCCAGCCGATGTTCCTGACGCAGGGAAACAGATCCTGTTGGGGATCCCTACCTCGGCACAACACCTGCCATGGTCTTTGCACACTCACCACAGTAAATGCATCATGTTGTCAGCTTTACAGTATCATAGTCAGAGAAACTGGTCAGGCCGCTCTCTTCCAAATGTCTACACTTCACCCTTTTACTGTCAGTGGGCTCAGAGTCCATCTAATGTGTCTCATTATCTGATGCCGTCTGCAGACCAGTGTTAGACACTGAGAGGTTGATGGCTCCGTGTCAGAGCACCGGCCTTAACGAAAAAGTTATCAATCGTTCTTTTCATCTTTTCTCATTACCCACAGCTACATCCACTCCTATCAGGCTGCTCACCTCTGCTGCGACGATTCAAACAGCCGGAAAGTAAATAATTTGGAGACGGTGCGTTTGTGTCACAGTGAACAGTGAAAACAGAGACTTTCTAAAACAATGATGCATGTTAGTCATGTGATGCAGGCATGTGACCAATTAAACAAAGATAGTGGAGAGCATTATACAGCAGCAGTTTTGACAGTCCTATTAAAGATGAATATCAGTCTGCACATGCTCCACAGAGCTTTTCTTCAAATTCTTTATTTCTCTCTCGCTTTTGCAACTTTGTACTTTTGTGTTACTCGCAGCAACAACTCCACCTCATTGTTAGTCCATTTTAAAACTCGGTGCTTTTCCTCCACCTCTGCTGCGACGTTTCAAACAGCCGGAAAGTGAATAAGCAGCAGACAGAAATGAGACCGGTCGAATCGTCTTGCGTTTCACGCATGCGCAGGACTGGAACGTAAGCGTTTTCAGCCGTCTTAATGTGGACGCACAACTCTGTGAAAACGACTGAAAACACTAGTGTGGACGCGGAGCGCTGTTTTCAAATCTATCCGGGCGAGTGTGGACGTAGCCTAAGTGGCACCATGGAGAAATGAGGTGGCGCTCTAGACCCTGATGAAGTGAACAGAGTGAAGATTTGTGTAGAAGCAGGAAGTGTGATCAGCTGCACTCACCACTGTTGCTGAGACAAACCTGATGGACTCCAGTGAATCTTCTTTTAGAGACAAACAGGACTCGACTGCAGCTCTGCTGCTGCTCTCTCACACTTTCACTTCTGCAAAATGACGTTGAGCTTCTTGTTTTTCAGCTGTTGCTCCGCCTCTTCCTGCCTCTCCCTTTACAGGAATCAGCCGGTCTGTACTCAGTGACTGTGTGCAGCGGGTGGGAGGAGTGAGGAGTGGTGTGTGGGTTCACACAGTAATGACGGCCTCAGGTGATCAGGAGAAACTACCTGGATTTCCTTTTTCCACAGCAGACTGAGAGCTTCAGGTGGACCCTGAAGGAGGTCTCAGACACAGGTGGTAAAAGTACACACAGTGTGTACTGAAGTAGAAGTACTACTGTTAAAAATACTCCAAGTACTGTTTCAACTTCTTTACTCAAGTAAAAGTAAAAAGTACTGGCTGTGAAATGAGAGTAAAAAGAGCTGATTGAAGAACATTTCTAACACGTGTTTATACAAAGCTAACTGAACCATGTGCTGCATCAACGTGATAATAAAATAATATTATTCACTTTGTTTCTGTCTAAATTTGAATTCTAATAAATATTTTAGCTTGAAATAAGTGAAAAAAATCTGCCAATGGAACAAGTTAAAACTCTCTATTTTTTCTCTGGTTTCAAGATTCACTGTCTTGAAAAAAGTTCATATCTGGTGGCAGACACCCTCAGACATCGGTGCGTTGGTGGTTCTTTGTGTCTGGGGATGGGTGTCCGGGTACACGCCGGCTCACTCCTTGGCGGCCACTTATCGGGCCTGGAGCCTGGGGCTCGCTCGGGCCACTTCGGAGGTGGGGTGCCCCCGGCCTCTCGGCCTGGGGCTCGGTCACTCAGGCGCAGCTGGCTGCCGGCGGAGCTCACGGGCGCGTCACTGCAACCCCCCTGGCTTCTGCTCCGCGGCTGCTGAGTGAGCCCTCATCTGGGACTCTCCTCAGCTCTTTCTGGGACAGTGGAGCGGCTGCCCCTCTGTTGGTCTTCCTTGGTCTCTTGTGTTCTGGGGCCTCTGGATGTCTGGAGTTTTGATCTCCTCCATACCTGCTTCATGCCCTGGAGGACGGGGCTGTGGCCCCCCCACACCCTCTAGCAGATCATTACATGAAGGAACCTTTTAAAAACAAGCGCGTCCATGCTCACAGGTGTACACACGGGTGATCGCACCCACTAACTACACCCTTTTTGGCTCCTACCTCAAAGCACACTGTGTGCTGTTCATCAGTAGCACACCAGTAGAGACCTTCATCAGACTGCTGCACGTTAATGGTGATGTTTTTCTCTGATTTAGGTCCAACAGGACGTCCATTAAAGTAGAAATAAGCTGCAACTGTGCCACCAGTTTTCTTTTTACAGCGTAGCGTGACATCACTTCCTGTCCTCACAGGAAGTGCAGGGATCTCCAAGATCACTTCTTTATCTGAGGAAAAGACCCACAGAGTGATGTAGAGGTGGTATAACAGTGTGCTGTTAGTCTGATGAAATGAATGACTTCATTACCTGATACAGTGATGTTGACTTCTTCACTCTTCTCTCCAGCTTCACCTTCACACCAGTAAACTCCACTGACTGGCTTGAACTCATCAAGCAAACAGGATGAACCATTTAACCTCCCGAAGCCCCGCCCCCCTGCTCCACATGACTCAGTCGCACTTCCTGTGTCCCTCTTCACCGTCCATCCATCAGAGCCCAGCTGACCGTCACATGTCAGAGACACTGAGGCTGCTGTGAAGAACTGCTGAAGGTTTGGACTGACGCTCAGAGAGACTGGAGGACAGACGGACAGTTTCTATCAGTGTTTACACTCAGTGTTTGTCCTGGACCATGGTGCACTTCATCTACTCACCTGCACAAACAGTCAGTGCAGACAGCAGCAGCACACACACACCTGCAACAGGTCAGAGGTCATTTAGAGACGCTCTGATGTTATAGTCACATAGTTTTTTCTTTCAGGAAACTTTCTAATTTCCTGAAGTCTCTGCATCATCGAGCTTTTCAAGTTGAGGATGAAAGGAGCTTCATCGTTTCTTTTATTTTAACACACACTGGACCATCTTTATGAAAGGAGGGTACCATCGCAGGTCGTCAAGCACCGCTCATGAAAACAAACCATCAGCATGGCTGACATGTGTCACCTCATGTAAATGAAGGTTTGATGTTTATGCATTATTAATGCAGGCTTACATTTTACGTGCTTATTTAGAGTTTGGTGCCTAAACTGACCCAAACAGTGACTTTGGCAACATTTAGATCTGAAAAGAGATCAGTGAAGCTCCAGAGTCCTGAGAGACACAGGAAGATTATTGACTCTGTCCACACATTGGAAAATTTGTTTGTAATAAAGGAAATATCATCTACACACAGACCCAATCAGAACGCAGCAGCTGTGGTTTCCCGTTTCATGAATAAGGTCGTCTGCCTTCATGTTCAGTCGTCATGTTACACACACTAATTGAAGCTTCACTGACTCAGTCGACATGCTCGACTTTCATTAGATTCAGTTCTGAGCATTCAGCAGGTTTTGGATGTTAATGAGACAAATTTGAATCATAGTAAAAACAAACTTTCATTACTATAAACCAGCAAGTTTGAAACTGTTTTCTTAACTGACTCTTTGTGTGTTCGAGTTAAAACGTGATGCTCGTACATAAATATCATCTTGTTTTGTTTCCTGTCCAGCTGACCAGCTTTAAGGTGGAACCAAATAAAGAAAGAAGCAGAGCGAAGTCTTCGTAAACGAAGCAAACCAGCAGATCTACACAGATTTGATTTCAGTGGAAGTTTCAGCTCAGTCAGTGAGAGCTGACGATGTGTTCTCCTTTACAGAGTGTGGAAGTACAGTAAATGAATGGATGAATATGAGTGTTCGACTCACCGAGGAGCAGAGACACACATGAAGTCTTCATGTTGTGGAGACGACGACTGACAGCAGCTTCAGCTTCACCACTTCCCTGTTAGCACCAGCAGCTTCGTCACAGTGAGGCCGAGCCGCTGCTCCAATGAACTCAAAGAGAAACTCAAAGCAAATATTTTTATCTATCGGGGCCTTTTTATTCATGATTTACACACTTCAAATCTGCCACATATATTGGAAATATAATATTAGCCTTCATTTTTATGCAGACGACACTCAGCTGTGTATTTCTTACAAACATAATTCCACCCATCTCCTGCTGCGACTGCCTCATGGAAGTTAAATCATTGTTGTCCTTAAACTTTCTCAAACTAAACATTGATAAAACTGAAGCTCTTGGTTACGACTGTAATCTGTCATGTGTGTCATCCTCTGCAGTATTTTGTCATATCAGTTTCATATTAATCACTCAAGCTGCCTCGTTTCACTTAAGCAGTACAGTCGTCTCTGTCCTTTGGGGACATGAGCTGCAGAGCCACAGCTGGCAGGACCTGGATGTGCTGTGCAGCCTTTGTTTCTCCTTTTTAATTGCATCATAATTATTACATTTTTACAGTCATTACAGAATTTGACCTTTCAAGTACGTTTCATGACAAACACTCATACACAGACACTCACAAACACACTCTGTAAAAATGTATATTTGTTTGCGTTTTGTCTGTTTTGTCTTTCAGGCGTTGTGTATGATTTAAGTGTGCTTTGTGTTGTTGGAGTGGGCCTTTTTTTCCCTTAACCCCTGTCCACTCCAGCACAATATTCAGATACCAATAAGAATATTAAATAAATCAAACATAACGAAGCATTCAGATTCTGCTGTCTCCAAAAACAGAACTTCCCATCTCAGAGTAAAATGCTGAAAAACTAGTTGATGCATTTATTACTGCTGGGCCCCTCCTGAAAATCACTGGCTGTACCCAAAGAGATAATTAAGTGTGCCCCCTCTCTTCCTGATATAAACAGGAAAGTTCCTGATCGATGCAGATCTGTCTGTTCATTAAATCTGTGTTAAATCACACCTGCTGAAATTACAGCGGGAGTTCAGAGTATTGATCAGATTGAAATGAAGGAAGCAGCTCCATCGTAGACGACCTTTGTCAGAGTTCAAGCTGCAGAGACTCAAACCAGCAGCAGTTTGATGTCTTCAGTTCCTCCTCCTGGTTTCTCTGGAGGAACTGGAAACAGGACGCCTTCCTCACTTGCTGCCATCATGACTCCATTGATTGGATTAAATGGGAGTGAATGAAGAAAGGAGGAAGCTGATGACTGTAAATGTTCCCACGGTGAGCCCGACACATCTGCAGGTCTGTCCTCAGCTTCCTGTTTACACAGAGAAACTCGTCGTTTCTTTCACTTTTTAATTTCTTCTGTGGCGTCTGTGGTTCCTCCACCTTCTGTAAAAATGGGACAGTCATGCACGTTGGTCACTGCGCTGAAGGGATCAAAGACAGAAACAAGCCACTGTGTGACCGAACATCTGGGATTCATTTTCATCTCACTGTGAACTTGGAGTTCCCATCAAACCTTGTCTGCTGAACTCAATTCAAACTATTATTTTTTTTATTGATAACACTGAAGAACAATGTGAAACAATATGATTCAGCAAAGCTTCAGGTTCAGTATCTGCTGACATGCACTCTCTGGACTCCACATCATTCAAACATCTGTTAAACTAAAGGTAAACAGATAAAACACTTCATGGTCACAACAAGGAAGCTCTGTCACACAAAGATTTCAGCTTCTCTCATCAGCTAACCACACAAGCAGCACCTGTTCTGATGTGGGTGAAAATAAACACTCGACTCTGGAAACTACAAACTCAGGTGACTTCACCATGTACGTGCTTTTACATCTGACTGCTGCCCCAACACAGTGAATCGAAACATCCTCGTCAATCAAAGTGAGTCTTCCTCAGCTCCTTTCTACTACGAGGTGTAATTCTTGAACCAATTCTTCTCTCTCTTCATCTTCTCTTTCACAGAGTCTTCATGGCCTAACCTTGTTTTTATGTGTATAACCCCAAACTTACATGCCAGTGAAACATCGGTGGCTTGTGCTTTCATGTTCCATGCTTATGTTATTGGGGCAATCGTGGCTCAAGAGTTGGGAGTTCGCCTTGTAATCAGAAAGTTGCCGGTTTGAGCCCCGGCTTGGACAGTCTCGGTCGTTGTGTCCTTGGGCAAGACACTTCACCCGTTGCCTACTGGTGGTGGTCAGAGGGCCCGGTGGCGCCAGTGTCTGGCAGCCTTGCCTCTGTCAGTGCGCCCCAGGGTGGCTGTGGCTACAATGTAGCTGCCATCACCAGTGTGTGAATGTGTGGATGACTGGATGTGTAAAGCGCTTTGGGGTCCTTAGGGACTAGTAGAGCGCTATACAAATACAGGCCATTTAGCTTCACCTCTGCCTTTTAATTTCAGATGTTTTTATCAGCCTTGTTAGACGGCTCCCCTTTTGTTTATCTTCTATGTTCATTCGTGTCAGGATTTTGGGTCCACTCCTCAAATTCATAGTGTGCTGCTGCATGCTGGGACAAAATCTCCCCAAATCATTTTCACACTGGAGTTCAATCAGACAGTTCGTGCTGCATGGTGTCATACACACTAATCTTCCACATCATACAACAATCACTTCCTTCCATTTCAGCGTTCTGATTGAGCTGCAGGATTGCTGCCATGCTTTTCTCTGACACTGACCCATTTTTACAAACAGCGACTCGAGCAGTGAGACCACAGTAAGGTTCAGACGTGAAACCAGTAACATGTTTTACTGTCAGACAGGAAACTAAAGAAAGTTTATGTTTCATAAAGCTTGAAACCGTTGAGTCACAGTTCCTCTTTGTTTTGATGCATTTGAGGAAAATATAAGTCAATGTTTCCACGACCACAGTTTACTCCAATTCTAAAAACCACAGGGACACTGTGCAAACACAGACTGAATGATGTGCAAATCTCACAAACCCATATTTTATCATGAGATAAGAAATGAGCTGAGATAAGAAAACCACAAAGAAGAGGCTGATTCTGGAGCATGCTCACATGTGGTTCTTCTTTGCATTATAGAGCTTCAACCTGCATTTGTGGAAGGCAGGTGAACAATGCTCACAGACACAGTTTCAGGAAGTGTTCCTCCACCTGTTGGTCTTTGGGACCACCGGCTTTTTCTCCATTTGTGCATTCAATCCCTTTACTGTGTTCTATTTATTAAAATATGCTTTTATAAGATACACAAATCATTGCATTCTGGCTTTATTTATACAACATCACAAAAGATGCATTGACCTAAGTGTATCTCTAGTTTTCCTGCTTTTATCCCTCATTTCCGTACCTGTAGTGTTTGTCCTCAGGGTGGAGTAAACCATTTCTGGTTGGATGACTGGCATCTTATTGGATGCCTCTCTACTGGTGACCTCAGAGTAGGTGACATCATTTGAAGGAGCCTCATTGTGGACTAGGCAGAGCCATGAAGGCAGCATGAGAGTGATAAGACCAAGAATCACTGATCCCATACAACACATACATACATGTATACTGCTTCACTTACAAGTGCTCAGTTGGGTCAGACAGACTCTATACCTGTGTGTTTCTTCCAAAGGAGCCGGACCAGAACCAGAGACGCAAGAACCAGAGAAACCAGAACAGCTACGACTGGGATGATGAAGGGCTGGAGAGGAGGAGGAGGAAGAGAAGGAGAAGGTGGATGGGAGACATCAGTGTATGTTGTTGTTGTTGTTGTGGGAGGAAGAGGACCTGCAGGAGAGATAATGACGCGATTCAGTAAATTTATCATCAGCTCTGCAGACAGGAAGTGATGTCAGTGTTCTGACCTCTGACCCTCAGAAAGCTCTGAGGAGATGATCCAAACTCATCAGTAGAACACCAGTAGAGACCTTCATCAGACTGCTGCACGTTAATGGTGATGTTTTTCTCTGATTTAGGTCTAACAGGACGTCCATTAAAGTAGAAATAAGCAGTGACTATGCGACCAGTTTTGTCTTTGCAGCGTAGAGTGACATCACTTCCTGTCCTCACAGGAAGTGCAGGGATCTCCAGGATCACTTCTTTATCTGAGGAAAAGACCCACAGAGTGATGTAGAGGTGGTACAACAGTCTGCTGTTATTCTGATGAAATGAATGACTTCATTACCTGATACAGTGATGTTGACTTCTTCACTCTTCTCTCCAGCTTCACCTTCACACCAGTAAACTCCACTGACTGGGCTGAACTCATCAAAAACACAGGATGGACCATTTATCTTCCCAAAGCCCCGCCCCCCTGCTCCACATGACTCAGTCCCACTTCCTGTGTCCCTCTTCACCGTCCATCCATCAGAGCCCAGCTGACCGTCACATGTCAGAGACACTGAGGCTGCTGTGAAGAACTGCTGAAGGTTTGGACTGACGCTCAGAGAGACTGGAGGACAGACGGACAGTTTCTATCAGTGTTTACACTCAGTGTTTGTCCTGGACCATGGTTCACTTCATCTACTCACCTGCACAAACAGTCAGTGCAGACAGCAGCAGCACACACACACCTGCAACAGGTCAGAGGTCACTGAAGGTCAGAGGGCAGGAAATTGTAATCTGTTCCTGTGTGGTTCTGGAAACATCATTCAAACCTGATCAAGCAGATTTGGTGTAAAATGCTCGAGCTGAATTCAAATGGACTATTTTTCCTTTTAATTTTTTTTTAGGTAGAAATTCTGAAATTTGACCTGCTTGTTTTGCAGGCCCTAATTCTTTTGTATTGATACGTCTGCAGGTTTCTAAGTAATTGTTCAGTAAGTAAAAAACTACGGATTCTACTAATCACAACATTAAACCCAACATTAGCAGGTTCCCATAGCCAGTGCTGGCAAAGGTAGGTTAGGCCCAATCAGCTCTTACTGGCTAAGTAAAACAGAGACATTTTAAAAAAGCAATCAGAGTTAATGAACCATCAAACCACCGAGATCACTGGATTAAAGTTAGGCGACTTTGGCAATATCAGCTGCTGAGTGAGCGACCTGAAAAATCTGTTTAGTAAACATTACAGTCGTTTGAGTCCCGCTCGTCTAAATCGCCATCAGGAAATTAACAAAGCATACAGAAAATGAGGAAAATCCGACGTTAATTCTGAAAAACCAACTATCTTCAGTCATTTAGTTAGACTCAGTCAATCTGGTCTGAACAGAGGAAGTGATGATTACAACAGGCAGATAAGGAGAACATGTGGTACATGCAGCTAGGAGCCGTGGTTTCCTGAGTAAAGGTTAATGTTTGATGAAAACAGGTCACTTTCCTCTCTTACAGACACGACATGAAGCTTCAGCTCTGTGAGTCAGTCCAGATTACAGGACAGAGAAACGCAGAGTTAAACTTCTAAATTTTAAAGAGTTTATGCAATTGACACAGTTTTCTGTCATTTGCTGTATCTTCATACACTCGAGTTAAATATGAGGTGCTTACAGGAAATACACTACTTGATTTGTGTCCAAACACACAAACAAATATCAGATACAACCAGCCTTAGATAAACAAAAGAAGTAGTGATCACTTCTTCTCACTAAGGAAAACAAAACCAACAGATCTGAACAGATTTCATGTGAGAGAAACTATCAGCGAGAGCTTCCAGCTGCTGAAAATAGGCTCTTTACCTTTGACCTTTAGTGTGTGTTGGAGCTGTGATAAAGAATTGAAGAAGGGAGGGTTTGACTCACCGAGGAGCAGAGCGACAGATGAAGTCCGCATGTTGTCATGTTGGAGACCGACAGCAGAGTGATACCTTCAGCTTCACCACTTCCCTGTTAACATCATCAGCTCGTCACGCTGCTGCTTCTCCACAAGGACGAGCTGTTTCTAATACACTCGTCTTCATCAGAATCAGAGAAACTTTATTGATCTCAGAGGGAAACTGAGTTATCATAGCAGCAAATATACAAGAAACAACATATAAAATCAGTGTAGAAACAGAGATATGATAACAAAACTATTAAGATAAACAGATGAACACAAAGACATGGGACTAAATATAAATATACATATGAACGTGGAAAGACAAGCATACAGTCCTGAGTGGACATAAATTATATGTGCAGTTTGCTAATACTGCAGTTTATGCAGTCTATGAACAGCTCAATGCTCCTTCTGAGAACAGGAAATAACAAAGAGAATACAACTTTATTTATACAGCACATTTAAAACCAGCAGTACCCCAAAGTGTTTTACAGTAATACGATCATTTATAGGAGGGAAACATTAAAAGCCAATAAATACACCAACAGGTGGAGCGCACTAATTTGCTGCAGTGCAGTGAAAATATGTAAAAGAAAATACAAACACAACTCGACTAGGAGATTATTTAACAATAAAATAAAATAATTAAAACTACATAAAAGAACATTTACAGGATACAGACAATAACTAAGGAAGGCTAGATTGAGTAAATCTTTTTATTAAATTATGACCCCTGTGACTTTACCTGTAAGCTTCTCACTGGGAAGCTGCAGTTTCAGATCGCTATGAAAGTCCCGTGACCGACTGTCACTGCAAGGCTGCTGAGCTTGAACAACTGCCTTTACAAACCCAGTTACACAAGATCTGGAGGCCTTCGTAAAATGTAAATAACAACAGAAAGAACTGTTTCGCAAATCTCAGATTTCATTTTTTATTCACAATAGTATGCAGAAGTCATTTAGAAAAAGAGTGAGGTTGTGATCAGGAAGATTTTTCATTTCATGAAGTTTCTGCATCTATAACCAGAAATGGTGGAATTATGTAAAAACATACAGAAAAATGTGTCAGTGCTTCTTTAATTACCTTATTAAGCAGAGAAGACATCAGATCATCTTTTTTTAATGGAGTGTTCGCCCAGGGTGCCAAACAGGCTAGCCTCTGCCTATTACTAAAAACATAAATAAAAACATTTAAGTTTGTGGTTTTAAGGTGAAAAAATGTGTAAATTTTCAAGGGGTATGAAGACTTTTTCAAGCCGTCCTAATCCCACAGATGATCTTCTGTAAGGGAAGTGAGTCTGGAATCAATGAGGCAATTAAACACCTGGTTGGTGGCAGAGCCTGTAGTGTGGATGGGATTCACTCTGAGTTTCTGAAGGCTCTCGATGTTGTAGGGCTCACTTGGTTGACAGGCCTTTGCAACGTTGCATATCTGGGGCCCTTGACTCTCAGACTCGGGTAGTGGTCCCCATATTTAAATATTGGGGAGTGAAGGGTGTGCTCAGACTGTAAGGGGATCACACAACCTCAAAGTACAAATTTTGACCGAATTTTTCTTCCTTTAAGCTGATTGGTTAACGTCATGTCAATCACAAATTTAACAATCCAATGAGAGAACAGATAGGTTTGGCTGTTGGAGGGGTGCTTTACTGAGCTTCAGGTCCTGGAGGTAGTTCATTCTTATGGTTCTTATGGGCAGCTGCATTTTGAACCATCTGAAGATGATGGATGGTGGCCTGATTTAGACCATAATACAATGAATTGCAGTAGTCCAATCTGCAAGTAAGGAAAAGGTGAATAACACGCTCAAAGACGTTAGCCGGAAGGTATGGCTTTACCTTGGCTAGCTGTCTTAACTAAAAAAAAACAGGACTGAACTACTGCACTCACCTGCTTATTCAATTTAAAAGAACCATCAATATAGACACTGAGGTTTTTTACATGTGTTTTACAATACGAGGAAAGGGGCCCAGAGTGCTGTCGATATGATTAAAGTTGCCAAAAATGACAACCTCAGTTTTATTTTCATTTAGCTTTAAAACATTTAATGACAACCACTGTTTGACATCATCAAGGCAGCGTAATAAGAGCTGGGGATGGTCTGACCCTGCTTTTAAAGGTAGATAAATCTGCAAATCATCAGCAAAACAATGAAATGAAATGCTGTACCGCGAGAAGATGGAGCCCAATGGCAACAAATAGACTGCGAACAGAGCAGGACCCAAAATAGAGCCTTGAGGTACACCGTATTTAAGAGGGGCTATTTTGGAGTTGTGGGGGCCCATACTGACACAAAAAAAAAACCTTTCTGACAGATAGGACCGAAACCACTGTAAGGCAGATCCTTTTAGGCCAGCATGAAATTCTAGCCGTGATAACAGGATGTCATGGTCGACCGTGTCAAAAGCTGCTGACAAGTCCAACAATAAAAGGGCAGCAGGGCTGTGTTAAGATTCAATATTGAGGAAGGGTACAAGAGGTGATCGAAGAATAACCACACCGATCCGGCCGGGTGAAGTCAAACGATGATTTTAATGAATACACGCGTGGGAGGACACTCTGTACGCAGACAGCCAGTAGTCCTCGACTTAATCAAAGCATGAACAGATATTTTATAGCATCAGGGTTTGTTTACTGACGCCCCTTCATACGTCACAGACACATTTTATACATAGATCAAATCAAAACCACAACGACTTTTGACACAGTTTAAAAGAACAATTGTCTCCTATCTT